GAGTTTTTTAAGCCGTTTAATAAACTCGCAGATCGTGTTTTATCGGGTCTAAAACCACTCGGCTACGCCTCGTGTTTTATACCCGATAAAATACTCCTGCTCGTTTATTAAACTACATATTTATACACGTGATTTATTTGTTATGGTTTAGTTGACCAATCAAATTATGAATTATTTATGAGGAAAACAATTGAAATTGAAATAAAAAACAATTGAAGTCAATAGATATTAGATACAGAATCATACTTTACATTCAACTTTAACATGGATTTACTCAGATAAACTCACTTCAACCAGACATTTAATAAGTAATATACAATAACCTATATTTTAATGAGGGTAAAGGCATTTATTTGTTGAGGGAGGATAACGAGAGTACCCATCAAAAAACCCTCCTAGCATAGTAGAGCAAAACACATTGAACAAACGCAGCTCCCATACTATGCTCTGCACATGGGGCTTAAACTAAATATTTGAACCCAATCTGTAAATAGGCTGTACAATAGATTGCCCTTATAAATGCCATACAGATAGGCTGCTCATATTATATATATTATTTCAAATTATCAGTTTACCATAGGTATACATTAACTTATTCTATTCTCTAAAGTATATTTATTTCCCAGGGATAAGTGTTTTTGTGGTAGACTTTCTGTAAATATTTTGATACTCAACACTGTATTTCAGATATTAATTACTGTGAAATTTAATCTTAATAAGCTGAAAAACGATTTTATCATGTTATCAGATGATAGAAAGATTATCTTATTGAATCTAGATACAAATCTTTACATTTTTTCACTAAAAGAAGTCATTAGAATTAATATTTTCAAAATTAAATAATTTTAGAAAGTGGGTTTAAAAAATATCAACTCTGTTTTTGGTTAATAGGCTTCTTTGCCATTTATCTTTCAAAAATGTTTCCTAAGGTGGCAAAACTGTCAGGAAACATCGGGAAACAATGTTTCCATGCGGCAAAAACATTTTTTGCGTCTTGGAAGCAAAATTTGTTGCACGCACCAATGTTTCGCATTTGGCTAAACTGGGAAACATCGAGGAAACATGCGCGCGGTAAACATGTTTCCTCGTTTAGCCAGGGCCTATGTTTTACTGTTCCTAATTTTTTTCTTTATTTTTTCACAGCTTCATCTTGCTGCTCTAGCATCTCTGAAAAATGAAATCGTTGACGTTTCTGGAAAACTACAACAAGTGACAGAAGAAAGAGATTCCATCAAGACGAACATAGAATTCACAAATGAAGAACGTAAAGAACTGATACGTGACTATGAAGAAAGACTCTTGTCTCAAGCTCAGCAGAGTGAGGAACAGATCACTGAATTACAAAGCGTTATTGCTGAACTGAACAAGAAGTTAGCCAATGCATCAGCCAATAAGATAGAAGAACTGGAAGAAGTGGAATCACAGACGTCTGAGCATGGTAAAGAGAATTAAAATAATGATTAGTAATCATTGGCATCATGATTTAAGCTGCATCTCTGTTGTAATCATGTAGTGTCTATAATTTTTATCCTTACATTTATCATTCTTTATCATCAAATACATCATCATCATTATAATCATAATCATCACCATGATCATGATCATCATCGTGATCATCAGTGTCATCACTATCATCATGTATCATTAACATCATCATGTATCATCTATCAGCTATTATTACATCACCATCACCATAATTTTTATGATGGTTATGACTGTACCATCACACTGCCATCGTCACTATTATCATCATCATGTATCATCATCATGTATCATCATCA